CAGGCTTGCCTAACATTTAGTGACGTCATTATTATCGTAATAAATTCCAATTAAAACTGTTTAAGACAAATTAAAAGGAATGCAACTTTAATAAGTGGTAATAAGCTTAATAACTAATAACTTTCTTATCTTAAGTAAGGAGGTAGATCTTATAATTGCATTAGATGTTCCACCCAGAGCTAGATAATTAAAGCTGCTCTTGAACATCTGAGAGAAAGATCTTATAAACTTATAGCCCGCGACTTCGTAGCGTGGATTTAAAAACACAAAAATAGTCCATGTGTTTTTCCAGACTATGCTCTACTTCTGTGTCGAATTGGATCAAATTCTCAGTTTAGACGGCAAACTCTAATATTCATCCATCTAAACTTTCGCATTTATAATATTAATAAGATTTTTTTCCCTGAAATCGAAAACTTTGCGACGACTTATGTTAACAGTTTGAATTGTATAACTGACCATGGCTCTTGGAGCCGGATATGCCAAGTTCGACGACCTCCATTAGCGCGGTGAGGCAGTCTACATCGGCCAGCAGCGCGGGGCAGAGCCACGCCGCCAAGCAGTGGTAGGCCGCCACCACGCAGGAGTGCAGGTCGCGCGAGTGCGCCTGCGGGGGCCGCCCGCACTGCACCGCTATGTAGTCGCAGATCCAACGCACAGCACGCTTGCGTTCGATCGCCTCTGTACGTACGTACACGCATCTTATTTACAAACTATGACACTTACGACTTCGCCTACTTTATCCTATTCATTTAGGGTCGGCACAAAGGCTTTTCGTCCTCCAAAATATAAACCACTTAGGTATAGGTGGGATCGTGGTCGCGCTGACTTTAAAAATCATAAAAAAAACTATCCGTCATCCATCACTCCCTCCCCTTTTTGGTTATACTACCTTTATTGCAATCCATGGTAATCGTTGGATGCGGAAGAAGGACCGCACTCTGTGGAAGGCCTATGTCCAGCAGTAGGTAGACAAAAGCTGATGCAATCCATACCTTTAGATCTACCTCTGCACTCACAGTTGTAATTAGAGACAGTGTTTTTCTAGTCAAAGATTGCTTGAATGATTATCAAATCGCTCAGTTACATTATACGTATTACAATCTAAAATTGAATTTGGTTTTTAGGAATTTAGAATTTAAGAATGGATTTTTCTTTTAAGGTTATGTTACAACTACACTAAACGAGTCCCTCAGTGTTCAGTAACCATTAAACGAATCCTAGTGTAATATACTTACAAATTTCTGAAAAATCTCTATTTTTAGTTAAGGTTATGGTAAAGGTCATTATCACTAAATACTATAAAAATTGTTTAAAACAACGTACCAATCACAAATTCTGGATAGCATGAAAGAGATACAAAAATCACTAAATATCACCATACCACAATATTTTTAAAAACATATAATTTTTAAAAAATAAAACATAAATTTCTTACCAGGTCTAACAGAGTGTAGTTTGGCGAGCCCTGAGAGCAGTTCCAAAGCTGCGAGGGAGACTTGAAGGTCGCCCTTCCACGAGGATATCAGTCGGTGGCACACCAGGTACGTCGCACGTACAACTAAAGCCGCACCTAACATTCACAAGTACTTAAAAACAGTACTATTTAAGTACTGTTTAGCAGTCACAGGAACTAAAGTATTTACCATCTTTGTAAAATATAATACTTTTTGAAATCAGGTTAAAGATTTTATTTGAATAACACAAGAATTAATTTAATTTCGCCAACCTTAGTCGTTGAGGCACGTTAAGAATTTAATTTCATATAAATATCACAATAGTGTTAGGAATAAAATTAGTACCGTGCTATAGAATTGGCGCAACTCTAGATTATCGGCATAAACGTCACGTCCCTAGCTGACAGCTG